ATCTAAGACGCCTTTTCCTACTGTATGGGCGTTTCGCTCGGGACATCCTCAGAAAAAAATGATATTGAAATCGCTCGCCTAATTCTCGGATCCTCGAAAATGGGCTCGCCCGAGACATCCTCGACAAAATGAGATGCCGACAGGGCTCTCGTAAGGCATCTTTTCGGAGCGATCTCGGATGACTGTTCGGGGCGATCTTGGATGACCTCCTAGATGGCCCAAGAAGCGAAGAGATAGGAAAACCATATGTTTTATTAAAAACTTTCGTTGGACAATCAGCGTTTCGCCCGAGACATCCTCCAGAAATTGCCTTCGGACGGGTCCTCGTAGGCGAATGAATTGAAATACCTATGGGTTTCAACAATTTTGTTTGACAAAGCACAGCATTTCGCTCGAGGCATCCTCCAACAAGTTTTGAACTCGCGCGGAAAGTGAACTCCACCTGATACCTTTTGTGGGCGTTCGGGGTAAGAGCGACGTCTAAACTCACGCGATAGTGGACTCTACCTGGTATATTTTGTGGACGTTCGCGGTGAGCGGTGACTGAAGTTGCGCGGATTGTGAATTCCGCTTGGTATCTCTTGTGGACGTTCGGAGTGTGCGGCATTTCGGAATTTGCGCGGACCGTGAACTCAACATGGTTCGTTCTTGCTGACGTTCGGGGCCAGCGGCACGTCTGAATTGGCGCGGGTAGCGAAGTCCACCTGGTACCCCCTGTGGACGTTCGGGAAGAGCGCCTACGCGACATGCGAACTTGATGTTGGCGCACGTTCTCACCAAGCTCTTTGATTTCACGCGCTGCCCGTTCATGTCCAGAAAAGGTTCCCAGAAATAGGCGTTTCGCTCGAGACATCCTCGCCAAATCGTGAAGTTGGGGGTCGTACCGTAAGACGTCTTCTGCTAAAAATGGGCGGCTCGCCCGAGACATCCTCCAAAAATGGAGATCTTGAAATCGCTCGCTTGATTTTCGGATCCTCGGAAATAGGGGTTTCGCCCGAGACATCCTCGAAAATTATCCTGGCGAAAGACCCAACCATATGCAGTTGTGAGTGCCGCAATTGTGAGTACCTTCTTCGGTGGCGCTCCCTATGGGGCCACGAACCGCATGAGAGGTATGCCGAAATATGGCGGGGCACACAACGCAAAGGAATACGATAGGTCAGATTACGAAAGAATAAACGCGGGTGAGCCAGAGCGCGAGAGAGTCTGAGTGTGAATGGGTCTGCGTGGGAGTGAGTATATTTGCATGAATGCGATCTTGGCTACGCCTAGTGTAAATGTATATGAATGTGAATGGCTCGAGCATGCCTGTCCGAACACTCGTGACACTGGGCGTGGCCGCCGCAGGCAGCTTCCGCGGGAACCCCGACGGCAGCGCCCGCGCGCCGCGACGCCCATGTCGGCACGCCCCTCACGGGGATCGCACCCGCTTCCGCCCCTTCTTTTCCCCCCTCTTTGCCTGCGCGCTCCAAAAATCCAAAGCTGCGGGCGCAGAGCAGCGCGGAGTCCCCGCGACGCGCGCAGGTCGCCGCGGAGGGGTCCCAGCGACGCGCGCAGGTCCTGAGATGGAGCTCCCTGTGGGGCCACGAAACGTGTGAAGGGGTGCCATGCGAACTGCACCACTGGGACCTTAGGTGCAACTCCCTGAGGGGCCACGAAACGTGTGAGGGGTGTGCCAAAATGGGGCGGTGGCGCCATGCGAGCTGCGCCACTTGGACCTCAGGTGGAGCTCCCTGAGGGGCCACGAAACGTGTGAGGGGTGTGCCAAAATGGGGCGGTGGCGCCATGCGAGCTGCGCCACTTGGACCGTAAATGGAGCTCCCTATGGGGCCACGAAACGTGTGAGGGGTGTGCCAAAAAGGGACGGTGGCGCCATGCGAGCTGCGCCACGTGGACCTTAGGTGGAGCTCCCTATGGGGCCACGAAACGTGTGAGGGGGTGCCAAAAGGAGCTCCCTGAGGGGCCACGAAACGTGTGAGGGGTGTGCCAAAATGGGGCGGTGGCGCCATGCGAGCTGCGCCACTTGGACCTCAGGTGGAGCTCCCTGAGGGGCCACGAAACGTGTGAGGGGTGTGCCAAAATGGGGCGGTGGCGCCATGCGAGCTGCGCCACTTGGACCCAGGTGGAGCTCCCTATGGGGCCACGAAACGTGTGAGGGGTGTGCCAAAAAGGGGCGGTGGCGCCATGCGAGCTGCGCCACTTGGACCTCAGGTGGAGTTCCCTGAGGGGCCACGAAATCTGTGAGGGGTGTGCCAAAATGGGGCGGTGGCGCCACGCGAGCTGGCCACTTGGGCCGTGAATGGAGCTCCCTATGGGGCCACGAAACGTGTGAGGGGTGTGCCAAAAAGGGACGGTGGCGCCATGCGAGCTGCGCCACGTGGACCTTAGGTGGAGCTCCCTATGGGGCCACGAAACGTGTGAGGGTGTGAGGGAACGCCGTGTGCCAATGGGGCGATGCGCCATGCCCGCTGCGCACTTGGACCAGGTGGAGCTCCCTATGGGGCCACGAAACGTGTGAGGGGTGTGCCAAAAAGGGGCGGTGGCGCCATGCGAGCTGCGCCACTGGGGACCTTAGGTGGAGCTCCCTATGGGGCCACGAAACGTGTGAGGGGTGTGCCAAAGGGGCGGTGGCGCCATGCGAGCTGCGCCACGTGGACCTTAGGTGGAGCTCCCTATGGGGCCACGAAACGTGTGAGGGGTGTGCCATGATGACGACGGCGATGATGATGATGACGATGATGGTGGGAGGAGGGAGGGAGGAGGGGGAGGAGGAGGAGGAGGAGAGGAGGAGAACGCGGGGCGACGTCTCTTCAAAACGAGGACCCAACACCACAGGATGGTTGGGAAAAATGAGCTGCCGCCGAGATGGCACAAGAAGCGAAACTACAGGATAACCTATGTGATTTTAAAACTTTCGTTGGACATTCAGCGTTTCGCCCGAGACATCCTCCGGTAATTGCCTTCGGACGGGTCCTCGAAGGCGAAATTATTGAAAAATCGATGCGTTTTCAACAGTGTTGTTAAAACATAGCGCTTCGCTCGAGACATCCTCCAAAAAATGTCTTCTCCTCCTCCTCCTCCTCCTCCTCCTCCTCCTCCTCCTCCTCCTCGTCCTCGTCCTCCTCCTCCTCCTGTTCTTCCTCCTCCTCCTCGTCGTCTTCCTCCTCCTGCTCCTCCTCCTGCACGTTCTTGCTTTCTCCTATGTCAGGTCGAGTTTACTTTCCGCGCGAGTTCAGACACGGCGCCGCACACGGACGACGATGGAGGAGTACTGAGGAGTGAGGAGGATAACCAGGAATTTCCTTGTGGGCGTTCGGGGAGTGCGCGTCCATAGGTATTTTTTTGTGGGCGTTCGGAGAGTTCGCCTGCATAGCATTTCATCTTGGTGATGCTGCAAGTTCTTGTTTTCTCCGATGTCAGGCCGAGTTTACTTTCCGCGCGAGTTCAGACACAGCGCCTCACACGGACGACGCTGGAGGAGTACAGGGGAGTGAGGAGGAAAACCTGGAACCTCCCTGTGGGCGTTCAGGGAGTGCGCGTCCATAGGTATCTTCTGTGGGCGTTCGGAGAGTTCGCTTACATCACATTTCATCATGGTGATGCTGCACGTTCTTGCGCAGCTCGTTGCTTTCACGCGCTTCCCGTTCATGTCAGGAAAGGTTCCCGAAATGAGCGTTTCGCTCGAGACATCCTCGCCGAATCGTGAAGTTGGGGGTCGTATCTTAAGACGTTTGTTGCTAAAGATTGGCGTTTCGCCCGGGACATCCTCCAAAATGGAGATATTGAAATCGCTCGCCTAATTTTCGGATCCTCGGAAATGGGCGTTTCGCCCAAGACGTCCTGGAACAAATGTAATGCGCCAAGAGCTCTTGTGAGGCATCTTTTCGGAGCTATCCCGGATGATCTGCAAGACGGTCCAAGAAGCGAAATGATTGAAAAACCCATGGGTGTTAACAGTTCTGTTCAAAACAAAGCGTTTTGCTCGAGACATCCTTCAGAAATTGCCTTCGGACGGGTCCTCGAAGGCGAAATTATTGAAAAACCAATAGGTTTCCAACAGGTTTGTTAAAAACAGAGCGTTTCGCTCGAGACATCCTCCAAACATTGCCTTCTTCTCCTCCTCCTCCTCCTCCTCCTCCTCCTCCTCCTCCTCCTGTTCTTCCTCCTCCTCCTCCTCTTCCTCCTCCCCCTCCTATTGTACTTCCTCCTCCTCGTCCTCTTCCTCCGACTGCCCCTCCTCCCACGCACGAGGCAGATGACAAATTCCGATAAGGAAGGTTGGATTGGACATCTCCTGGTCCTTCTGAGGTTTCCCGGGCTATCTAAAATCCGATAAGGAAGATTGGATTACATGCCACGTGGGCCCCCTGGGGCCTGATGGCGACCCCATCCTTTTTAACATTTAACCATATGATGCTGCTGCCGCTGCTGCTGCTGCTGCTCCTCCTCCTCCTCCTCCTCTTCCTCCTCCTCCGCCTCCTCCTCCTCCCCCTCCTCCCCTGGTAGTCGTCTTCGTCGTCGTCCTCCTCACGCGGAAGAGTGAGAAGGATACTCAGGAATATGCTTGTGCACGTTCGGGGGGCGCGTGTCCATACGTATCCCTTGTGAGCGTTCGGGGAGCTCGCCCACATTAAAGTTGATCGCGACGATGATGCAAGTTCTTGCGCAACTCTTCCCTTTCACGCGCTTCTCGTTCATGTCAGGAAGGTTCCGCAGGGACGTCTAATGGGCGCCTGCACTTGGCCCGTGGTCTCTCTTTCCGGTCAGACTTCGCCAAAAATCCCAGGCCCTCGCCCAAGGCATGTGACTTGTTATGGCTGTGTTGGGCCGCCAGGGTTTTCTTTGGACTCCACCACAAATCCCCGCCGCTCTGTCACGTCATCGGCCACGGCCTCACCGCCAACCGATCCCACGAGATCGCAAGCTGCCAGATGGCAGGCATTTCCTGCTGCGTATCCCTCAGAACATGTGCCGCTGTCCGCCCATATTATGATCGTTACCGGTGATCCTTGTTGGAGTGTCCATAAAGCTGAACAGCTGGGTGCACCTTGTGCGTCTGATGTGCCTGCCAAGCGCGCAGCGCCAAGGGCACACATGCACATGCGGACAAAGCGTACAGCAACACACTCGTACCATCCCCTATGAGAGGATGGCCTACACCCAGATCGCCACTCTGAACTCATTGCGGATATGATTCATGCAGTGGTGTCCTGAGTTCAGGCCGTTAGACTCTGTGCAGCACAACATGGAGAAACACTACCGCCCTAAGTAAACAAATCTCTGGAATCTACAGAGAGCATGCCGAATATCATCCTAGAGACACACCTTACTCGGACAAAGCCAGCGTGTAGGCGATGCAGGTACCCGGGGCGCAAGCCAACTAGCCAGTGATGGGGCATTCCCTGGCCGCGCCGGTGAGAGGAGGCAGAGAGCTGGCAACACCTTCGCTTTTACGAAACCTGGAAACAATACCATATTGCCCAGGAGACTCTCGTTCAAGGCAGCTTGTATGATTAATAATGAAGACAGCCAGCGTAGCCCCGAAAAGCTGCTCCTTGCCCCTTGGAAGCGCACTCAGTGTTGGGCAGTCTGTCGATAGAGCACTCACTGTACGAGTATACACACACTCATACATGTATATAGACACACTTACATATACACATACGCATACATGTAGGTATACATATACGTATACATATGCACAAACAAATACATATACACACACGTTGTGTATGCACGTATATAAAAGTATATGTACATAAGGTGCCCCCTACGTGGTGCAAACTCTGTGGTGCAAAAAATCAAGGCGGCCTGCGTGACACCACGCACATTTGTATATACATATATAGATACCGTTGTATACACATCCACGTAGATATACACATACGTCCATGCATACATGCAGGCATACATGAATGCAAACATACATACATACATGCATCCGTCCAAGTACAACACGCACATACGCACATACATACATGCATACCTATAAACATGTATATATATATATGTACATGCATGCACACCTGCATACACACATGCCAACATACATACATACATACATACATACATACATACATACATACATACATACATACATACATACACACATACATACATACATATATACATATATACATACATACATACATACATACATACATACATACATACATACATACATACATACACACACGCATACATACATACACCGATACATGTACACCTGCACACATGCACACATACATACAACCATACATACATCTACATGTGTACACATATATATATATATGCATACAAACATGTATACACCCATCCATGCATGCAGGCACGCATGCATGCACGCATGCATGCGTACATACGAACACGCATGCATACATGCGAACACATGCACACATGCATCCATTCATTCATACATGCATGCATACACGCACACATGTACACACGCACACATGCACAGATTCACACACGCACACATGCACACATGCATACATGCATACATGCATCAGGCGTGCATACATACATTCATACATACATCAAAGCATACATAGATGCATATATGCATGAATACATACAGTATACATACACACATACATACACAAACCTCTATATAAATCTACATATACATACACGCATACGAGAGAACTCGTTTCACGGGCGCTCGCCTGGGGACCATTCGGCGGCGCGTTTCGAACTGGGGGTGGGCCCCCCCCCCAACACTCGGCGCCGTCGATCAGAACCAGGGGGACTCCCCTCCCCCCCAACTCCCCCCTTCCCGAGACACCCCCCCCCCTGCCAGGGGGGCGGAGGGTTCAAAACCTCCCCCCCCCCCGCCGGCGCTTACGACCGCCAGCAGCGCCGACGGCGGGGAGACGCAGCGACGATGACCAGAGGCAGCCCAGGGGGGGGAGGGGGGATGAAGGGGCTCCAAACCTTCTCCACCCTCCCGCGGCGCCGGCGCCGGCGCAAGCGACGATTACCACCACTACCACCACCAACACTACCACCACCACCACCACCACCACCACCACCACCTCAACCCACCACCACCACCACTAACCCACCACACAACCACCGCCAACACCACCACAGCCACACCCACCACCACCACAAAAACCAACCACCACTACCACCACCACTAATCTACCAAACCACGACCACCACCGCCACAACCACCACCACAACCACCAGCACCACCTCCACAAACCGCCGCAACCACCACAACCCACCACCACCACCACAAACCACCACCACACCACCACCACCGCCACCACGACCACCACAACCCACCACCACCACCACAACAAACCACCACCACACCACCACCAAACCACCACCACCACAACCACCACCACCCACGACCACTACCACCACCACCACAACAAACCACCACGCCACCACGCCACCACCACCACAACTACCACCACCGCCACCACCACCACAACCCACCACCACCACCACAAACCACCACACCACCACCGCCACCACCACCACCTTCAACTACCACCACAACCACCACCACCGCAACAAACCACCACAACCACCACCACCACCACAACCACCACCACCGCCACCACCACCACCACAAACCACCACAACCACCACAACCACTACCACCACCACAACCACCACGACAAACCACCACATCACCACCGCCACCGCCACCACCACTTTAACACACCACCGCCACAACTACCACCACCACCACCACCACCACTTTAACCACCGCACCACCACCACCACCGCCACCATCACCACCACCACCACAACCTGCCACCACAAGCACCACAACCACCACCACAACAACCACCAACCACACCACCACCACCACCACCACCACCACCGCCACGACCAACACCACTACCACCACCACCACGGCCCACCACCACAACCACCACCACCCCCTCAGAGAGGCCCCAAGAGACGCCCAAGAGGCGCCCAGGAGGCTGCACATATACCCTTCAGAGGCTCCCGAGAGCTCTCTTACGAGACCCCAAGAGGTATCCATTAGGATTCTGACCCAAAACCAAAGCACGGTGGCGGAGCGTCGTCGTCGTCGTCATCGTCGTTGCCGTCGTCCTCGTCGACGCTCCCCGCCGCCGCCGCCCACCGCCACAGGCGCCGGCGCCGGCCCAGAAAAGGAAGTCGTCGTCTCCGCCGCCGCCGCCAGACGCCGCCGACGCAAGCGCCGGCCCGAGGAGAGGGAGAGAGGAGAAATAGGGGAGGAAGGGGGGGGGGGGGTCGAAACCCCCTTTAGGGGGGCGGTCCGGTTCCACCCCCCCCCCAAGCGACCACAGAACGCGCTGTTGCATACATACATACATACATACATACATACATACATACAGACAGACAGACAGACAGACAGACAGACAGACATACATATGTATAGACACGTTTGTGAACCATCGCGCGCTTCGAGGTCAGCCGATATGTGCAGGGCGCCTTCCCGCGGACTCTTGGCATAACTGCTTCGCGCGCAACCGATACGTGCACAAAGTCCGAGCCAAAATGGCTGCAAATCTGAGTGTTCGCGGGAGGCGAAGCTCGACGTCGGCGTCGCTCGCAGGGGCGAGAGCGGGAACACTAGGGTTGGGGGCCTCTCTGGGACTGCGAATCTGGCCGGAATCGGCGAGTTCCCCCAAAGCGCTGATCACGGCATTCAGAAGATTGCGGGAAAGGACCGAACATGTCGGCCAGCGCGCCCGCAAAGTGCCTGGGGGAGACCCAGGAAACCGCGAGGAGACCAGAGAAGAGAAGGCACCGCAGAGGGGCGGGAAGGAGCCGAGAGGAGAGGATCAGAAGGGCAGAGACCGGAAAGGAGCGGAGAGGGACAGGGACAGGGAGGGGAGAGGAGATGAACCGATACGGGAGGAGGGGAGAAGAGCGGGGAGAGAAGGACAGGGGAGGCTAGGATGGGATAGAGCAAACCAAGAATGAACAGGACTGACCAGGATACGGAAGGAGAAGAGACGATAGGATAGACTATGATCGGAGGGGAGAGGAAAGGGAAGGGAGGAAAACATGGGATGGAAGGGAAGATGATATGAAACGTAAGGCAGGGAACGTGAAGGGTACCAAAAGAGGACAACTAAAAGAAGAACGGGGAAAAAAGGAGAGAAGATGATGCGAGAATCTGTCCTGGGGGGAGGAGGCAGGAAAGGAGGGGAGGCAACACGAGGCATAGACTCATTAAAGAAGACCGGAAGAGAGAGAGAGAGAGAGACGCACAACATAAGAAAGAGAGAGAGAGAGATGACAAAGACGACGAGAAAAGCAATGGAACAAAACACACACAGCAAAATAGCTACATAGAGGGATCACTAGAAATATATATATATATATATAAAGAAATAAGAGAGAGAGAGAGAGAGAGAGAAAAAAAAAAAAAACAAAAAAAAAAAAAAGAGAAAGAGACAGATACACACACTCCCTCGCTGTCTATGTGTTTGTATATGAGTGTGTTTGTATAGATGTAGATCAAGGCGTAGCTGTCTATACGTGTGCCACAATGCACATGCCGATATGTGCCTATGTGTGTGTGTGTGTTAGCCAGCGTGGGCCCCGAGCGGCGTGACTTTTAGCTATGCATGGTGTGCAGTATATGCGGGACACTCGAGGTGATGCCATATGTGGTTTGCAACCTCTGTTCGGCAACCTATGTTGCGCATCCAAGAAAAAGTCCGAATTGTGAGGTACCATACATGCTGTGCGCCATGGGTGCGTGAACAAATCGATGGTGCACAATCCCTGTGGTGCAATCTATGTTGTGAAATGTGAAGTGTGCAATATATATTGTGGGCGTTATGTTGTGCGATCTACGTGGTGCAATTCACCAAGCACAGATTGAACTTGTCAATGGCAGTGCTCGCGCAATTACCGCACCCACCCACCAACTTGGCTTGCAACGCCCATGCGGCGGCGATTGCGCTGGCTGCCACGTCGCCGCGGCCGCGCTAGCGCTCCCAGGCTCGCGCGCAGAGCGGTCACCTAGTCTGGCGCGAAAGACGCGGCCGCGGTGGCGCTGACCGCCGGGGAGTTTCCACTGCGTTTCGCAAGTCGCGCTGACGCGCGAGCACTTCAATCGGCGACTCGGGCGGGCGCGGTACCATGTCGACGTCAGCAACGGCAGACA